TTAGTTTAAATAACAATTCATAGGAGTTTGAGGTGGTTTGCTTAGCACAGCGTAAACCCTCACATATCACCTTTAGACTTTTGCACAACCCTGGTTATGCAATTATAAGTCCTAACATTTTAGGATTTCGATGGTACCGTACGGTAATGTGTAAATCCTCCTATCTTTTTAGGCTATTTGCACGATCAGATATCGTGCAAACATAAGTCCTAAATTCTAAATAAATTACAGGATTAAATATTAAATAATATCATTTCAAAAAACATAAAGCCAAACAATAGGATAATTGGGAAGTCGCCGGGGTTTCTCCTGGATCTGTGATATCCCCTACTTTTCATTTCTTTGGATTCCTTAAAATGATTGTTCCTGTTTGAGCAACTCCCATTTGATTTTCCCATGTCCAATCTTGAAAACTCAAACTTTGAAATCTGGAAGGTAAAACCACTGATCTTAATCAAGAGTTTTCTTAAGTGACCCCGGTCATTTAAGATGTAATTAACTATAGGGGTTTGCCTCTATAAGGAAAACTTGAAACCCATGTAAAATAAACTCTATCTAATACTTATATTAGGTAGGGGAACTTGTTAGCCTCATATAAAATTATTTCGTAGACCAAACATATATCATAAATTCTTTAATTTAGGTGATTGAGTTCTTACTACAGTTTCGTAGACCAAACATATGTTTATTCTTCAAGATAAGTGTATTACTTTTGGTATTGCGCTCTGTCAGTCAAACTATCCAAAATGTGAGACCCGTTTGGTCTCATATATTTTTAAATTAAAATGTTACTTTTCAAAAATCGAAAAGATCATATTTACATTTAAATTATTTACATATCTTACAAAATTATATCTTCTTTAAAAATCATAAAATCACTAATCTTTTTAAAATAAAACTGCCGACAGTGTGACGTTTTGTTTAAAAAAAGTACACTTACATCCTAGGATATTGTGATCTTTGGAAGGAGGAACAAGGGACCAAGTCCCCTGTTGTTGGAGAGCCATGAATTCATCAGATATTGATTTTCTAAAGTGAGCATGAGAAAGAGCTTGTGATAGGTGTCGGGAGTGCCAGGATCGGTTGTGATATGGCCGAGATAAAAAATGATAGTGGGTTAAGAGTGTCGGCTTGGCGTCTAGTTATCATAGGATGAGAGAGAGGGTTTGGGGCGGGTGATAATTGGAGAAGAAGCTGAGGGAGACTGAAAAATAGAGGGAGAGGAGTGTGGGGGAGTTTGTTGTTCAGGAGAGGTGAGAGTTATGGGAAAAGTGGTAAGAGAAGAGGAAGGGGAAGGAGGATTAACAAAGAGCAAAGTGGAATTTGAGATAAAAAGAGCTGGAGGAGGTGTCGAGGAATGTGGAGCAGGGGAAAAGGTATTGAAAGGAGTGGACATAAAAAGAGTCTTCGATAAATGAAACATGTCGTGAAATAATGTATTTATGAAGTTGAATATCATAAAAACGGTAGCCATTGTGGTGTAAGTTATATCCTGTAAAGATGCATCTGAGTGATTTAGGAGACATTTTGTGATGAGTGGATTGTGGTTGCCAAGAAAAACACAAACACTCAAAGGTTCCAAGGTGATGATATTCAAGGGGTGTGTTAAAATGTAGTTGAACGGGAGAAGTGTTAGAAATGTTTAGTGAGGGGAGACGATTTATGAGATAAGTTGTGGTTTGTATGGCATACATCCATAAGGGAAGAGGGAGATAAACGATATTAATAAGAGTTCTTGTTGTTTCTACTATGTAAAAGTTTTTTCTTTCGGCAATATCGTTTTGTTTGGGTGTATATGGGCAGCTAAATTGGTGTGTAATGCCTGAGTGAGTTCATGTGAGATATATTCACCGCCTCCGTTGGTGCTCAAGTACTTTATTTTTATTGTGACAAATTGGATTTCTTGCCAATGCAAGTGCTTATTTATTGTATAGATAATTTTTTGGACAAATTCCTTAACCAAGTGCAAGACAAACATTTGAAGTTGTAATAACATATTCAACTTCACGAGTTGAGAGAGTAATAGTAGGTGCTTCATTAATATCTAAGTGAAAACAATATCTCCCATAAATAACACAAATTCGACAATGTTTTTTCTATCATCCAAATCTCTACCACAGTCGATATTGTCATATCCAAAAATTTTATTTTTGTTAAAAAAAATAAAATAAATCATAATTCATTGTACTTTTGATATATCAAAATATTCGCTTAGCAATATTGAAATGACTTGTAGTTAGAGCATCAATATAGCAAATAATTACTCCAGCTACATTAATAATATTTGACCATGTACAAATATCATAATAGCGTTTATAAAGAGTAACATCCACATTTTTTCATTTATCATTTTTGGATAACATAATTTCATATTCCATTGGTATTCCAAATGGATTAAAGTCATCAATTTTAAACTTCTTAAATACTTCTTTAGCATAGCCCTCTAGAGTGATGACCAGGGTACTACAAATCCTTTACCAACCCTCTTGGATGATTGAGAAAGGATGTCACCTTTAAGGAAGGCAAGAGATTGTTAAACATGAAGCTCCATTTCCTCATGCATCTTGCTTTCAAAGTTATTGATAAGATTTGGATAAAATTTTGAAGAGATTTGTAGTTCTAACTACATTCTCAATCACCAAATTCGTATTCTCATCTAATTTATCAAATTTGTCACACTTATAAGTTTGTAAAAAGAGACCGAATGTTGTTTATGAAAGATTAATTGCAAAAAAATCATATAGAAGTTTTTGTGTTAACCTTTAGGAGTTTATTAAGAACAAGGTTATCAACACTCCTTTCAACTTTAACACCTGATGGTCGTTGAGATGGTCAGATACTAAGCATGTAAATGAGCCAAAGTTGAGCAAGCTTAAGTGTGCTTTAGCTTGGCACTTGAACTAAGTCAGACTTTTTAGTTTATGATTAGTTCAAAAGATTATATAAAAACAAACATATCTAAGTATATAATTGATATGTCAACTACTACTATATATAACTGTAATTGCCAACTTTTATAATTTTATCTTCCACAGTTCAATAGATGAGTGAATATATAGATATATATATATTTTTAATTTTCTAGTGGATTACTTTAATTAGGCCAAACCCTATAGTTTATTTCATTTTTCAAAGTTTTTCCGAGTAAAAAAAAAAATCTGATTATCTCTTGCATTTATATATTTGCTTGCGCTGGAAAATTATGTTGGAAAAGGCTTAATTTTTCTACCGTTGAGAATTTTCTAATAGATGAGAATATTAGTGCAATCAAAATCATTTTGACTCGAAATGATCAAACAAGATTATGCTCATCTTTAGCTCATTAAATAAATGAGCTTATATGCACTATAACAAAAGCTAATTATTAATCCAAGCACAATCAAACATAAGCAAAAAACCAATTTTACAATAATATCAATAAGGACATGAGTTGACATAACTAGGCCACTACCAAGCTAGTTGAATCCTCTTCGTTTCAAGAATTGGAGTTGAGAGAACTAATGTTCTTTTTGAATACTTAAATGAATAAACTTAAATTTTGAATATTTAAGTGATTAAACTCAATTAAAAGTCAAAATAAGCATTTTAATTAAATTTTGAATGATGTACATATTCATTGCACATCTTAATAGGAGGGGTTTATTCTAAAATTTAAGAAATTTTAAATTATAAAAATCTATAAAATATTTAAATGAAAATTGATCTCTAAAAAGCTAAAAGTAAAACTTATTTACCCTCCAAACAAGAAATTTAAAATTAACTCAAGCTTGCAAAGAGTCAATGTTATGTCAACATCCTACTAAATTCAGACTCAAAATAATTATGTATCAGTAAAAACGTAGCCTAAATCTTTTATCGATGAGATTTGTCAGTCGATTCCACAAAAGAAATGGTTATGATCAGAGTTTCGTGATTGGATAATATGATCACCATATTACGATCAAAGTTATAGCTCGTATGCTTCTCAATAGTTTTCACTTTAAGTTTTGAAGCATAAGATGTATCTGATAAGACACGAAACTCTTTATAAGTTAAGGTCGATTTTGATTAATTATTTTAAATAAATATTTAGCTAAGATCTACAAGATTCTCTTGAACATAACAACCAATAGCTGCTGACAGGAATCCTTCTATCAGGTTGAATCGACTATCTGCTATAACTGAATATATCAAGGTCCAAGACAACCCGTGTTGACAGAATAAGGGATTTTGATCGAGTTCATCATCATTTCCCTCTTCATCTGCTCTTAAGCTCGCAGTGATGATTTCATAATTTCAAATCCCCATTATAAGCTAACTCTTAATACTTATCATCAAATAATTTGTCTTAATCAAAAGTGATGTCTTGTTACTGGGAAGGGTAACTAACTAACCATAATGGCTTGTGCCTATGAGAAATCTGGAACCCCGTATCTTAAAGTACTTGCAAAATGAGAGTGAGATATCTGAGTAGTGTCTTATCCACTATCTCATTTGTCTTCTGAAAATTTGACCCGAAACCTCAGAGTAAACTCTCTCATTTATTTCTTTTCGAGGGAAGTCGGGGCGTCAAATTTTCATAGCTCGCCAGCAACATAGCTCGTGTGCCCCTTTGAGGTTTTTGTTATGACCATTATTGTAAATTGTGTAGTGAATATGCTTCTCTACTAGTGCAAGAAACACCGCACCGAAGAAAGTGTTAGCATCGATGGTGAAAATAAGAATGAGGATGATGATGCTCTCTCTCCTTCACTTATTTTGTAACATTTTACTTTGCACATTATTTTCTTATTCTTGTTTATCCTTCTCAATCACACCCATGCATTTTTCCTAATATTGTGATATAAATTATAAATAATATCAAAACTGTATTTACTTTATTGCAAAAAGGAAAAAAAAAAGCATTTCTCATTATACTGTATCCAAAGCTAAACCTTTTCCCCTCGGTAATCCTTCATATCTGTTTTTTATTTTTTATTTTTTTTATTTCCAAATAAAAATCAGCAGATAGTAATTTTTACCTCTGGTTTTTTAGATTGACAAATGCTTTTCATGCTCTGTAGAATCTCATAACCCTTTGGATCTCTCCCCTGTGGACACTGATCTCCTCCTACCTTATACCAAAATCAACATTAACAATCATAATTTTTACAAAAAAATGGCTCATTTCAGAAAATAAATCGAATCAGTATATACTGAACATGAACAGAATGAATTTTTTAACACAGAATTTATTTTGAAGAAGCTGTAATATAAATTTTAAATGATTGCTAAATACAGAGGCATCAGGTGATATGTATCTAAATGCCGCATGAATATATTCTTTTTAAAAATATTATTTTTAATTTCTATATCAAAATAGATCTTCAAAAATCTCACCTTGCTTGGATGCAGGCTTTGAAACTTTTAGCAAAACAAGGCTGTCATTGCTCTGCACAGCATGAGACAGAGCCCAAAGCAGAGCACTCTTCGCCTCCGTGCTCGAGTCAACCGCCACCATGACTCGCCGCCGTTCCTCCGTCGCCTTGCCGCCGTTTTCGACTTTCTTGGCTTCTCCGTCGGCCGCCGGAACCGGGTTGGAGTCCACCGGCGGTGAACGGACTCTGATCCGAGTCGCCATGCGGCTGAGGCAGAAGCTCGGAAGCTTGGAGTTTGCGCGGCCCATGATCTCAACCTGAGGGGGGGGGGGGGGGGTGGGGGGGGGGAGGGGGAGGAAGGGGACGGTAGGAGGCAGGAGACAAGTAAATGGCAGTAGCTACCCTGTTAACCTTTTCAGACCTCGTTGTCCTTTTTACTTGTCCGTTGCAGAAAAACTTATTGGATGAGCTTAAAAGCTTATTTGGTGGGGATTTTAATAATTATTATTAAGATTTTATCAAAATTATGTGGGGTCATAGTTATTACGTATTGGGATTATTTTTTAAAGGATTTTAATATATTTATGAGTAATATTTATGAGGAATATTTTATCGAATTTATATTTATTTAATATAAAAAATTGAATTTATGTAACCAAAATTTAAAGGGAGGGATTGAGATAAAGAATAAGCTAAATCATTTTAAAATTAATTTTTTTAAAATTAATTTTTTTCAAAATAAATAAATAAAATGAGATGAACTTATAATTATAAAAATATTTCTTTTAATGTTATTGTTGTTATGAATAAATATTTTGAATTATGCCTAATACTTTTTTCATAGCATAAAAATCTTAAACCATTGATGAGATATTGAAATTCATTGCAATGTCATCTTTCATCGTGAGTGTCCTAAAAAAATCAGTTTCTATTTTATTTGTAACCTTATTTTTACCAAAGTTATTAAACCCAAATAGGATTGGCAGGTCATATCGTGAACTAGTTGGGTAACTGATTCGGAAGCTAGAGATAACCAGATTTTGAATAACCATAATTAGACCGGTGAAAACCGGGGTCAAACAGGTTTACCGTTGAAATGTAACTGATTTTCTTTATCTTAAAGAATATTTAACATAAATTGTTGAAAGATTCTGAGAAGTTTTGATCATGATAGACTTCAATTTTAAAATGCTATAATAAAATTTGTATGCTTAGTTCATTATATCTGTGAAATTTGCATGATAAAATTTATTGGTAAGTTGAAAAATCTCATTAATTTTTAATGATTGATGTTCATCTAGAGGATCCAATGCAAAACTCATAGTTGATAATCATATAATACTCTCTATATATAAGTTATTCATCACAATATTTGTGTGTCAAAGTGACTACTGAAATATCAATATTATAATTGTAAGAGCCTCTTTAACCCGAAGAGGGATGAGCATGCATATTCGGAATATATTTATCATTTTTTCTTAAAGTATCAACTTTGGAACCAAGAAGATCATCTCTATTTCTACCAAACTATGAGAAGAATTCAAATAGGTCACGGAAGGTGTATCTCATGCATGTTATATTGTATCAATCGGCATCAATACATCATACATATTACTACTTAGTTAAAATGACATTTATTTGTTATTTGTAAAAATATTTAAAAAAGAATTATACATGTATATTTAATAAGGTAATTATAATGTATTTGATAAATTATTTAAAATAATTATTAAATTTAAAATATAATTATTAAATTTAAAAATAATTATTACTGAACATTTAAATTTTAGGAGAGTAAATTTTGTAATGTATAAAATGTCATTACATTCTATTTATTTATTGCGTGTGTATAATTTTAATAAATTTTAAAAGATATGAAAATATTATTTTATGAATAATACATGCATATGAATATGTAAATTTGCTAGATTGTTCAGGCTATTGTTAGGATATTTATTGGATTGTGAAAAAATATTACATTAGTACTGTGCACTTAGAAGTAACGTGCGTAGCCAATGAAATCACGCCACGCACCCCGTGCGACAGAGACCCCCCCGGGGCGAAAGAAAAAAAAAAAACGGCGCAGTAACACGGGAAATATTCCCCCTTGTGTTATTCATATGTTATTGTATGTTATTGTGTGTTATTCATGCGTTATTGATGTGTTATTGTGTTGTTATAACACCCATGACCCAATAACCCATGATTAACACACAATAACACCTGAATAACACGGGGAATATTCCCGACAGAGAAAAATGCGGCGCAGTAACACGGGGGAATATTTTCCCCCGTGTTATTGATGTGTTATTGTGTTATTATAATACCAGAGGATTATTCCCGGTGTTATTGCGCCGTTTCTTTTTCTCTGTCGCACGGGATGTCGTGACGTGATTTTATTAGCTACGCACGCTACTCTACGTGCGTAGTACTGTAATATTTTTTCTTAGATTGTATGTTTGTGTGCATTATATTATTATTCCTCCTTATTATTGTCACATATATCATGATTTAAAATATTGCTAGAGAGAGCGAGAGATAGAGAAACCATCAGCTTTTGCCCCACATGCTTCTTTGCAGCACTGATTAGAGTGGGTGGGCGGCTCCATGGAAAAGCTTGTGTGTGGGGATCAATGTGCTTCTTTGTTTATGAGAGAGAGAGAGAGAGAGAGACGTCTGCTCGTAATGATGAGAGACATGGAATCGAGAACATAACATGATGAGACTTTTGAGCTGTGTCTGAAACAATTCTTCTTAGGTCATGATAAATGGTTGGGATTGAGCTTGCCAGCATGATGATCAAAAAAGACGTTTTTGATCTGTTAACGACCCGACATTATATTTGAACTATTATGAACTTGTTTTTCTACTTTCTATGTTGATACAACTTATGTTGATGAGGCTTTCTGGTGGCCGGTTGACGTGCTTGATTATTGTTTCTTGGTGGTCTTTGGAGGAGCTATTGGAAGAGCTTTGTGGCGATATTTGTTAGATTGTTGGAGTTGCTGGACCCTTTTAAAGATGTTTCCTTTAAGAAGATTGGTGTGGATCGAAGCTTGTCTCCTATTGGCCTGAGCGGTCGTTTGGTCGGTTGCAACTCTTCAGTCGGCTAGGTTGGCTATCAGCCAGTTGGATTCATGAGGACTTTATTCATAAGTGCATAAATTCATGAGGACTTTATTCATAAGTCTCTTAGTGAATATGGCTCGAGAGTTAAAGTCAAGTGAATGAGAGAAATAAAAAGTATATTGGGTCGAGACTTTACTGTCTAGAGAACAATGAATAATCCAAATAGCTTGTCTTTATTATTATTATTTTGGTCATCTTTTCTCTTATTTATAAGAACTTGTTTATATAATGACAGAAATGAGTAAACAATTATGGAAACCATTTTTAATGTAATTAATTATATGATTAATTGTGTGGATTTTATATCATATATGTATTACGATTTGAATTATAACATTGTGGTGATTGACTGGTCAAATTGCTTGACTTTGGCAAGTTGAGACAACCAACTGAATGACGACCTTATATTGTGTTGGTCGAGAGTTGATCTGGTCCATCATGGTGAAATGTGGGTTGGTTGATTAGCAGTGGTCAGAGGTTCTTGCCTACGCCATGGTCGGTGGGTCGGTTGACGAGTTGATTTGTTTCATCAGGTGAGTCACGGCTCGTTCGTCGTTTGACTCAGGTCTTACAGGGCCCGAGTCTCTCGTCTCCATGATTGCTGTGTCTTCTTTTAGATTCGTGCTGATAGTTTTGGTATATACATAATCACTCTTAACTCGTATTACTTCATTGTTATTTGGAAGATTTACATAATATCACTCAATTCAATGTAATTACAAATTTAACAACTAAACTTCAACTTTTACATATATATGTCAATCTACATATGGAGGAAAGGTCATTTTTCACTTTCTTAAAAGCGAGAATAATAATTTTTGTATGTGATATGAAGGATTGAGTGGTATTAACATAAAAATCAAAGTTCATGCAATATATATGCAAATACATACGAATTGGGTGGTATAAATGTAAATGCCCCGTATTTTGTTGAATACATTCATGTGAAATTTAAATACCTAGCACCCAATTCTTATATATTTACATACCTAGGCTCTTGGGCCGGCTCCTCCATTTAAATTCAGACTTTTACTTATGTGAGAACAATTTGATCTTTTACTTATCCTAAAATATCAATTGTGTCCCTCCTGAGCTATCATTCTGTCATTTGTTGCCCTAGTCTCCTACTATATTGGGCCTAGGAGACAGTTTCCCATCACAAAAAAAGAATGATTATGCTCCCGCTCACACGAACTTTAATGTTTACATACGTAATATTTTAGTGCTTTAATACCATAATATATATTTAAGTTTTAAAATGTGATAAAAATATTTTTTATTTGAGATTATATATTTGGATGCTATGTGTATAGTTATGAAAGTTGAGATGTGGGACAGTTAAATACATAAAATGTGTGCTATGTATGTAGATGTTCCCAAATTTTGTGTAACAATTCCTGCGCCGAACTTTGGCGCCTTCTGATGCGAATGTTCATTGAAGCTCCACGTCGAGGAAAATGGAAGCTAATCTCTCCTCCGCGTTCTCTACTTCATCAGTAGGATCTAGCCAAACTTCTTCAGTGTTCGACACGAGCCGGAGACGGAGAGGTCGGTGGTTTTACAGAGAAGGCGAAGCGGAGATACTCATACCTTCCAGTAGGTGATGATTTTACTTCCCATATTATTTATTCTATCCTCTTTGATGGACTGCTCGATAGCATGATTTGCATGGAATTTTAGTAGTATTAACTCAAGTTCTACCGATCGGTATAGATGATCACTTTAACTCGTAATCAAATTAGGGTTTAGCAAATCTTGGCATATGACGGATTTAGCTTGAATATGAAGTCTCACGATTCAAGAACTCTTATTCTTCACACTTTGAGGTAGTTGTTCAATTGTTTGGGAATCTAATTGAAGAGCAAATGAACGGCCAAATATTCCGCAATGAATTTATGTCCAATAAACATTCGGTTGATTAATCATAAGGAGTTGCATTATAACGATCTCAATGAGCAAGAAGGTCTCTTATTTGTAATTTTTATGCGGTTTAATGAAAAAAAGTTAGAATTCAACTTATGAATTGACAAGGATCCAATTTCATTTTTATGTCATATGAAACATTAATTTTACTATGTGGTTTGAATGCATAGAAGAAAATTTAAAATTGACAAGGATCCTGTTTACATTCTTTAAATTTATGTTGCCCTTGATTCCTATCTTTATTAATTGACATATGCTGCTCTTCAAGTCTATGTTTTATATTAGCTTATGCTAATTAGTGGTAACACTTCGCCGTTAACTTCATGTCTCCTCTCAAATTTCAATATATAATTTAGGACCTCATGTTGAGCATGTCACTTATAAGATTTTATTTAAATCATTTTTTTATTGGCTCATTTATAATATCATACTTTGTTGATACGACGACAAAAAAAAAGTTTTTTTGATACAAAAATATGCCGAACACTTTGGGTTTTAAAAAACTAACGAACCTAGGATAATGCTAAGAGTGTAAGTCATATATTAGAAACCAAGATACATAAACCAAATATTACAAAATATACTAAAATTCACTTTATTTTGGTGTAATCTCAATATGCGTGAAAGTTGAACTTGATAATGCAATAATTGTTTAAATTTTAAAAACATAGAAATTTAATCAATGAAAAATTAGCTAGCAAACAGGAATTTCCACTATAAGTAGGAACTAGGTTGAGGAAAATTTGACTAAAACTAAATGTTAAATTTGACTAAAACTAAGGGCTCAGTACACCCCACTCAAAGGAATCTTGGATCCAACAGGAACTTATAACATTGACGGTGGAAAAAGGTATTGATAAAAACTATCTCTTACATGCTCTTTTTTGGTTTTACAACTTTCTAATTTCCTCTGTCACATGTCTAAAAAAGTTTAGTTAAATTTGAAATTTGTAATATATAGATCTCAATAGCAATCATATAAACATAATTTGGAACACTTGTAAGAACCCACATGATTATGAATTGCCTATTTACAATATTACAAATTACATTTATAGATCACAAGAATACTCGCACTTGGAATCCTACTCCAACCGTTAAACCAATATAGCCCGATTAAGTTGCAACTCTTATAGGAACCTCATAGGTATATGAGCCACACATGGTTACCCTTGAAAATGATTCACAATTACCAACATGTTCGATTAGTATATGATCATTATCAATGCAAAGATGATAATTATCTCTTAATGAACAACATATATAATAACATGAACGGATCATGAATATATTCAGCACAATTTTAAAAGAATGCACGAGTATCTCCATCCCATGACAGATAAGATTGTAAGGGTTATCTATCTTAAGCCGATAAAGAGTAGTTCAATGGCTCAATCATGACATTGATATTTTTTGGCTTCACACATGGTGCCACATAAATCCTAAATTCATGAGAATTCATATAATAATAATAATACTTGATGCGTGCTAGAAATACACAGTGTTAGAATAATGGATTATCATCTTAGCATTGTAAGAATATTCAACATACACTTAGAAGAAAGAAAACAAATAGGAATGACACCTAAAGGTTTTATGTGAAAAACCCGTAAAGGAAAAAATTATGGGGTCTGACCTAGTTGAAAAGTTCCACTGTAAAATGATGATTACAGTTGAAACCACTTCTCTCACAGGAGGGAAATGATTAGAATGTCTCCCAAGTTATAACGTCGACGTTCGTCTAAATTTGTTGCAAGGAACGGATGACGATCAATAACAATTGGCGACGACCAACGGTGGTCGACAACGACAAGATTGATGCTGGATTTCAGCTCATTCTCAAATCTTCAAGCTATTGGTCAAGCCTCAAGCTGTTCTTCTCCTCCCGGGAGGGGGTGGTTCTATTTATAGAGTTCTGACTGCAATTAATGAAAGAATATAAACTACTTTATTTTGATGACCTGTAGAGCTTCCTTTGATCAGATGATATTTGATAGACATTTGAGTCTCTTAATAATATCAAAATCGAACGATTTTAGGCTTGTTTGATTCGTCCTGTAAAATGCTCGATTCAAATATAGACTCACTTGATTTAACACCTGTTTGACTTTCCAAATATGTTCAGAAAACTACTAAAATAGGTTTAATGGTTTGATTGAGGCTCGATTTGATTTAGATTGGATCAATATTGGTACCATTGGGTCCGTTTTGTCAAGTCAGTCAGTTTGACTATAAGTTTGCTAAAATCGAAGAGCTAGATGGCTTTTAATCAAAATTTGAACATTTTTTGCTCAAAAGATTGCATTGAGATGCTGTCTTGCCTCGAGATTTTGTGCTGCATGATGGATATTTGTTGGAGGCGTATCAGTTGCGTTCTTATTTTCAAGCAGGACTAACTTCGTTGCCCGAAAATATGAAAGATCTGGAGCTTTCAAATTTTTTCATGATATTTTAATATATATATATATATATTATTATACTATTAAGAGTATTATCAGAAAAAAATAAACATACATATGTAAGAATATTGAGCTCAGCTCAGTGGCTTGGGTCTTTTGTTCGTTGTGCAGCGCATTTGATCCCTGCAAATTTTAATGTTGTTTTTTTTTTCAGCAGCGGGATTGGCCAGGCCATTGGATTGTTGGAATTTAAAGTAGCGAGCCTCGGAATTCGGAGCAGCGGGTCGATGCCATCAGACCGCAAAATTTGGAGCAGCAGGATGAAATTCGAAGCGGGCAGAGCTCGAGCAGCGGGCTGCGGAATTTGGAGTTGAAAATCTTGAATTTGGATGGTCAAAAACTAGAAAATTCAAAATAAAATTTTTTAGATAGACTTGGTAGATATAAGGTCAGAAAACTGTAGTTAGAAGGCCAAAGGTTGGAAGACGAAATGATAAGAATGTTAAAGCATATTTTATAATTTTTTTTTAATAATACAGATGCTTTTAATGCTAGAATACATCTCAAGCCTATAAATAGTGATCAAGAATAGATGAAAAAATTAGAATTGAGATGAGAAGAAGAAGAGAAAAAGAGAGGAAAAGAGGGAGGAGTAAAAATAGAGGGAGAAGGAAAAGGTGGAAAAAAGAGGGAGAAGAAAAGGAAGAGGTGGAGAAAGAGTTGTCCTCGTCCCTACCCACTAGTGATATGAGATTTTTCCTTTTGCTTCTATTTTTGATCTTCTATCGTGAAGAAGTAGGGGAAAACCATCCCAAAAGTTATCCCCGACCATGCCTAGCAGGACTTCCAGGATCTCCTTTCTTAATTTTTTGCCGTGAAAGTGTAGGAAAAATCGTTCCGAAAGTTATCTCTGACCCTGCCTAGCAGAACCTTCAGTTCTCCTTTTGCAATTTTCTGTCGTGAAGAAGTAGGAGAGTGCCGTCTTGAAAGTTATCCTCGACCATGCCTAACAGGATCTTTAGAATTTTCTTTTGCAATCTTCTCTCGTGGAGAAGCAGGAGAAAGCCGTCCAGAAAGTTATCACCTACCCTATCTCGCAGGTTCTCCGGGATTTTCTTTCGCGGACTTCTCTCATGGAGAACCAGGAGAAAATTCGTCCCAAAAGTTATTCTCAACTCTACCATGTAGGAACTCCGAGATTTCCTTTTGTGGTTTTTTCTCGTGGAGAAGTAGAAGAAAGCCGTCTCGAAAGCTATCCCCAACCCTACATAGCAGGACCTCTGGGATCCTTTTTTGTGTTGCGGTGCAGAAGAAAATCGTCCCCTTACTGCTTAGCAGGCAATTAACAAGATATTCTTTTTTGTTGCTGCTGTGCATTTTGGTGGAGATGAAGAATGCTGATGTTTTCCCTCCGCTCTTTGAGGGAGAGATTTTCATGCTTTTGTGGTGACAATATTTGGAGACCACCTGATGGTTAGCAGAAGTATTGAAATTTTAGAGAGGCGGTGTCGACTTCACTCGAAGATAAACTGATTTGTTGTAGCCTTGTACGAGTATATGTTGGTCTTTGCAACATTGCAATTGTTTGATGCGATATTTGTACACAGTGATGATGTGCTTGTCTGTACGTTTTTCTCTAGCTCGATGCAATAAAAATTTAGATGTTTATTATGAGGTTGTTTTTATCTTTGATTCTGAGTCGGAGTTGCCCCTTTGAGATGGGGTATTCTTACCCAACTTCTGGGTTACATATCGGTGTTCACCTTTTCTGAGGTTTATGCCTTATGAGGTTTTTTGTTTTCTCAAACATGCGAAAATCGACAATCAAAGTTGCACGTTAAATTTATATAGAAGGAATCACATATTTTTTTATACTTGTGCCTTCTGAGATTTGTATCCTTTTAAGCGTGTATCCTCTGAGGCTCGTGCCCTCTAAAGCTTATGCATTCTAGGAGCCTGAAATGGGCCGGTGCTTTCCGAGACTTGTAGTCTTTTGAGGTCTTGCCGTATTTGTGCCTCTTGAGGCTTATTGCATTTTGAGGTCATTGATGTACCCGTGCTTCTCAAGTCTTGCAACATTTTGAAGTCTTTGATGTACCCATGCTTTTTGAGCTTTGTAGCCATCTGAGGTCTTCAAGTGGAGACTTTGCCGATCACTTGCTCTAATTCTTTAAATAGGAAAGTGCTGTCAGGAAATGATTGACGATTCTATTTGCTTACATTGAGATATGCAGCTCTTATAAACTTGCAATGAAGTTTTCTTATTCCTTATTTTATGATTGATTTCTCACTTCTTGAAGAGCCCATAAAAATTTTAAAAATTTGAAAAGACTTTTTTTCTTTGATTATAACTTGAAATTTTTCGTGAGTTTTAATATATTGAGATGAATTGGACAGTTTTTTTCTAGACATCTCTTCTTATTTTCCGCATGAATACATTATATGAAATCTATTTCAATAGTAATGCAAAAGGGAGAAGAAAAAGATGTGTGAAACACTCAAGTACAATATTGAAACAAATAATTTTTTGTTGTATTTGTGTATCTTGTTGGTTGAATACAAGGCATATATATAGGCAAATAAGAAAAATGGCAAAGGAAGATAATTAAGAGAATGCATATGATAAGATATGATATGATATGATCTTTTCTTAACTTAATTCGATTTTGGCTCGACTCAATTCAAGTTCAATTTGAGTCAAATTTGGCTCATCCACTTTGATAGATAGTCTTGATTCAAACAACGGGCCATATTTATTTTCAAGCTAACTCCAAAGCTAATAGACAGTCCTAGTTTAAATTCAATTAACTTATTAAATACATTAGAAGCTATTGTCAAATTTTTGAAATTAATTCTCTCCTACGTCAAATTGGTATGGTCAATTACTTTCCCCCTCCATCAGACCTCTTAAAAATAGTGAGTTTTGTGCTCTTTTTTCACCCTTCTATTAGTTACTCAAGTAAATTACACTTACCTATATATGCATTGAAATGGAAATATTCATAAAAAAACAACAAAATTAGACTCGAGTAGGCTGCAAGGTGTTTGGCCAATCCTGAAAGAAGCTGGGCTACTATGCTTAGACCAGGCTGGCTTATCAAAACCGAACTGGTTTATTTTTTGAGTTATCCACAGATTAGCTAAGTTGTTACTTGTTAGTCATGAAAATTTAGAGAGAACTCTCAATCTTCATGAAATCAATAAAAATTTAAGAGGAAAAAAATTTTCACTAATCCCAAATAAATCCATTGATTCAAAATTTTTTCCAGAATAAATATGCCTGATAATAAATATCCTAAAAAATGTCAAAACCATTATGTTTTTTAAAAGTAAATCAAGTGATGTGTTAGGCTTCAAACTCAAGATTTGGTGAACTGAATTGCTAAATAAAAGATATAAGATAATTACATACCCATCACTCAAACTTTTTTGTCTATAAGAAACTAACACTTTTTGACTACCAAACTCATGCATATGTAATAATGAAATTATTGAATATTAAATAAAAGCAAAAAATACACATTGGGGTTTTATTGTGAATTTTGATATTTCTACAAGAATTTGAAAGGGTGCTGAATTTGTAATGGCAATGCTTTCAGTGCTATGCATAATGAGCTAATAAATTAAAAAATGTCAGATGTTATGTTTCTCATCAAAGTTTCTTTAAAATTATGATACAACATCTAAAAATTTAAATCAGATCTTTTTTCTGGGTTAAAATTATAAAAAAGTAAAAGAATGGAATATTTTTTCTCAAAACCTTGATTAAGATTTAAAATGTTAAACAAAAATAAAGCATTGTAAATTTAAAGACAATAAATTTTGGAAACATTTATATAAAATAAATGTAAGATGCTATTTTTTTTGATAAATTTGTGGTGTAAAGTAAAAAAATACAGACATTTTCAAAATTTTATCACTTGGTTGAGTAAAAATATAATGCAGTGTAAATTTTAAGCGAATTTGGAATTCACCTTGCAGTTCAAAACTGATATGTTTTGAATTTGTTAAATTTGAGCGATTCACAAACACTCTATAAATTGCAGCCCATTGTCAATGTTGGTCCCACCCATTATCCACTCGTCGCCCTCGCCAGCCCCATCTTGCCACTTTCATCACACATTGTCGATAATTTCCATTACAGTCACCGACGCTTGTCGATGCTACTGTCGAACATGTTTTAAATTGATTTTATTTTTCTTCGAGCCAAATAAAAATATGTAAAATCATACATTTATTTTACCTCAAATCAAATAACTTCAAATTATTTCAAATAACTATACTTCAACTAGATTGCATTTTTTTTTTCAGCTAGTAAACGACCTCTTAATTTTTCGAAATCACATGATAGTCATTAATAATGTTTTATCGTGCTATTTTAGAAGGTTCTACTAAACTATATCAGAATAAATTACCTAAACTTTTAGCATTCAACCGCCCTAAAATGGCCCCACATTGCAATGAAGTTCCTATGTTGATCAACCCAAGTCAGTAAAAATTCTAAACTCAGTCTTAGTATTTAACGGGGGGCCAATCCAATAGGTCCTTGGCGACAATGAAAGACGATATTCAAAGATCTGATTGCTTATTACTTATATTATTGATTTATTATTTAGGAATGAAAAAAAGTGGGCAAGTGAGATTTTCATCCTCATTACTTTCTGCAAGGCTATAGTGGTAATAATATAATATGTATTCAGTTGTCCCAAATTCGAATGTGAAATCCATTTGGTGCTTCAACTCTTGGAAATTTCAGCAATTTCTCTCCTCCAATTTCCTCCCATCTGCAAATGCAGAGAGTTCAAATTAAATTTATAATAAATATAACATACTAATATATTTTTCAAATAGCAGTGCTATAATTTGTTTTTCATTATCTTATTCAATTAAGATAATACTACTAAGAATTGAAAATAATGATTTTTATTGTGATCTTTTTTTAGTCATTGGATAGAGTAATATCTAAATATAAACTATTTATTTTATGAAATTATACTCGAACAATTGACATTTTAAGAAAAAAAAATGGCGCACATAATCTTTTTTCTTTTCTTTTTTCTGGTGCAGAGACTATTTTCTTTAAAATGATAAAAATGACCAATTCTAAATTTTAGAGAAGGGGTAACCAAACCTATATCTAGTCACAAAGTAGTGAAGAAATATGGAAATTTGTATTTCCCTGGGCATAGCCTTCCACCTCCTCCAAATGTAAGGAAATACTGATGAGACTCCATGTTCTTGTTCTACATCAGGTAAAACATTTTGATTAATCGCTTTTTGTATGAAGAAAGATTTTCATATGTATGTGTGTGTATGTGTGTGTACATATATAGATATAATTCTGGCTCATGACTCACCATCCATCTCCATGGATTAAATGATAAAGGTTCATCATACATTAGTGGATCATAGTTTATCTCCCTTATATACAGATATATCTTCCACCCTTCTGGAATGATATTTACAAGAATTTCATACCACCCTCTGGGATGGTAAAACCAAAAAAAAAAAAAAAAAAAAAAAAAGAGATCTTCAAAGCTTAACATGATTTAAAAAAAAGATTCTGATTCATACAATATTGCCTAAAAAAAAGAAAACTCGAAACTAATTGATGAAATATATGTGGTATATAAAATATAAACAAGGCTTCTTTTGAGATATGAGCTAACCAACCTTTTAATTCCATATCTTTTGTTGTCTTCCTTAGCACTCCATTAACTACTGTGGCTAATCTAAGAGTTTCACATATAACCTATTTATATTTTAAAAAGAAAAAAGCATGTTTATGTTAAAATAGTTTTGAAACAACTAAATTTCACCAAAAACCAACTAAAAAAAACTCACTGCGCGTGTAAACTCCATAGATTTATAGTCATTCCAATCAATCTTATAGTCAGACGCTTTGTTCTTTCTTATTTCGAAATGTTCATTCTGAAAAAAACAATTAGAAAATATCAGTTAATTAAAAAGAAGGGTACCTTTTTGATATGAACACTAAGTATTATTGTTTGTACCCTTAATTCTTCAAGAACTTGTGGATGATCATGAAGATATTTGATAGCCATCATTGAAGTAGTAGAAACTGTCTCAAATCCTGAATAAATTAAAGTTAGAATGGTATCTATTATCTGTTCATCAGTTAATTTTGCATCATTTTCAGAATCCATTCTAAGGAGACAGTCGAGCATATCAGCTGGAGAACAATCTGAGCCCCTTCTTTTCTGTTTGATAATATTTTTCAGCATGGAGATAATCTTCTTCCTCGCCTGTAAAAAATATTTCATTTTTCTCAATCTGATAAGCTCTTAACTTCTAAAATGAAGCAGACAATTGGAATTTGCAGACTTACTTGAAGGCCTCGATAATAGTTAGTGCCAGGAAAGTTGAATGGCAATGAGAGAGTCCCTGCTAGAAGCTTATAGATTTCTGTCATTAGAGATTCTGAAAGTGGACTTTTTTCAATTCCAGCTATCAGTTTCAGTGCTGAGAGCAGCCACATCTTCACCGTGGAGAGAAGGGTAAGTTCATTAGATTATAAATAAATTATAGTTTCACTTCATAAGCATATTTTAATCTTAAACAATATATTGATGCACCGTTATTTAATTTTTTACATGAAAATTTATCAGCTTATATGCTTTTATTGGGTAATGCTGGTGAATGGCAAATCAGTTTTCTCTATTAGGTTGTTCACGCCAAGAAGCCAGCTATATTTTGACAAAAGAATAACTATGTGATTCTTGTGTTATGTTTTTCTCACATGCCACATTTCTAGACGAGAGATACTGTTTCATCCTATTCAACTTTGGTTATGTCAGTGGCTGATTTAGGATTTCAAATGAGAGGGGTAAAAGAGTTTATTTTATATTGTTGCATTTACATACATACCACAATTTTATGTATTTATATATCTAACACCTACATTTCAATATTTGCATTTATAACACTCAAATCTTTAACATCACATAGAAAATATCACTTTATTAACCTTTTAAATTGCAAATGCATCTCTTTATACATAGGTATGTAGCACCAAATGTGTTATAAATGTAACAATCAAACTTAAGTGTTAGATATGTAAATCCATAAGAATTTTGTGGTACTTATGTTAATTTCCCTTTTATATTTAGAAGGCAAAGCTTTTGTAATATATATTATTATTGAAGAATTTTAGGGCAAACTTTCTTACTATAAATAATTATACTGAGTTTTTTTTTTAAATATAATGCAATTGGGCCAATCGGACCCATAATAGGAGACATATTGTCCAATCCAAAGCCACCAAACTAGCATTTTATTGAATAGAAGGCGACCCTTTTTTAAGCCCAAAATGAAATTTTGTATGATTTAAATATCATATTATTGCAAATATTTCAAGTTTCCAAAGTTTATCAATCTTCAGGATTACTTCTTTTAAGTTAAATGCAGTATTTTAAAAATTAATATAAGTATTTCTAAGACTTATATGAATAATGTGCTGGATACGCTGAGGCTACAAATACCCTAAGTCAGCTAAAATAACTGAAATATGATATTTAAATGCCTGCATGTGCTCCATCCAATGTATAAAATGTTCAAATACTAGGTTTGAGAATGTTGTGCGGGCTAATCAAACCGCATCGTCTATAGAATAGGGTTGTAACTCCCACTCCACTAGTCCGATCTCCCTCCTCCCAAAAACTGAGTTGTCTAGTAATTTTGAAATAAATTTCTAAATCCTAAAATAAAAATTTACAAATCCAAATCACCTAATCCGATCCTCCTCCTTGCAATGATAGGAGTTGACATGACCCATTCTCTAAGTGTAAATTAGCAAGGCTAAATGCCATCTCTTCAAATATAAAAGCTTTTAAATTTTTAATCTTTTAAACCAAAAATTTCAAACCAAGTATTCAACCTAAAATTCAAATCACTAAAAGCTAAAAGCAAAATTCGTCTGCCCTCTGCGACAGTTTGTCGAGGGTGACAAATTTCTGATTGACTTCAACTCACAGAGAACAAATGTCATATCAAATGCATTTCTATATTCACAATAAAAATAATTGCTTATCAATAAGAACATGACCCGAGTTCTCTGTCTGCGTGGTTTGATGCAAATGCTCCACAAAGTAGCGGTTACGGTCAGAGCGCTTTGACCTGGTGGTTGCCGTCAAATGATTCCATTATATTACGGTCATGAACGCAACTCATATGTTCCCTAAAAACTTTTTACACTTTGAGTTGTGAATAATAAAGATACAATTGATTGCCACAAAATCTTTTGTTAGCTAAGGTCGATGTAAATTTGTCTCCTCAGACAAACGTTTACCTCAGATCTACAAGGATCTCTTAAACAACGCAACTTATGGCTGCTGACAAGAATCTTTCTGTCAGCTTGGGTCGACTCCTTCCTCTAAGTAAATGAGACACTGACGATTAAGGGTGATGAAATCATGTGATTTTGATTGGTTTCTTTTTTATTCCCCCACCATCTGCTTTAAGCTCAAAGTGGTGAATTTTGCAATTTAAATCTTAAGTCTGCTGCTGTTATATGATGAATACCAAATTCTTAATGACTAAACTTAATTGCAAGTGTTGTCCTAATTAACTATAGAAGCTTGTGCTTATGGGAAATCTTGAACTCCAAATCAAAACGTCATTGCAAAATGAGGGCGAAATCTTTGGGTAATGTCTCATCTACAATTTAAATTGCTTTCTGAAAATTCGACCCTTAAAAGTTTTCTCTCTCAAAATAAAAAAAATGCAGAAAGTAGTCTCCTGAGGAGCGGTCGAGACTTTTTGGAGCCCGCAAGTTGATTGATAAATGCAACTGGTGCTGGAACCACTCGTTGACTCAAAGAAACTCTACTATGCTCTATTCTATTAATATAGAAAAATTTCGCGGATCAATGTATTGCTTGAAAAATTTTATCCTTAAATTCTCTGCGATTGTGGTAAACTTCAGTAAACCCTTCATCTCCTCCCATTTGAAATCTTAATTCCGCCACTATGCATAATTTTTCTTTATATTTCAAAAAATTTGTGTCATTCCTCTAAATCACTATGGAATCAAACTACTATTATGCCCACCGTTCACACACACACACAATCTCTCTCTCTCTCTCTCTCTCTCTCTCTATATATATATATATATTAAAAGAATTGATATTTGGCAGAGGCCCAAATATCGATTCCTTATGCGTTATACCCTATGGTGAGAAGCACGTGTCATGTGCTATTATTTGAGGACCACCGCGCCATGAGGATTCAAATATTTGACATGAGGAAACTTACAGTAACTCCGCCAACCAACAGGCCAAGGCTTGCACGCATGCGCACCCACCCACACACACACACACAGATATATATATGGAGCACTTGCATACATACCACAAAATTCTTATGAATTTTTAACACTCAAATCTTTCTCATCACATCAAAAATATCACTACCACTAACTTTTAAAATGGTGAAATACACCCTTTGATGCATGAGTAAAGTGTTGTTGATGTAAAAATCGAAGTTTGTTTTTGGATGTGTAAATGGGAATTATGTGGCTTGCATGTAAATCTTATATATATAGAAATAAGCAAACATGCAAATATAAAAAATCATATGTTTTTCTCATACCTCTTTGGTCTTTTGTTGAATATCAACAACTTGGCCATTCCAATCACAAAGAAAGGCGACCATATGCTCATCAATCTTTGATAATAGCTTATCCTTGATCATATTAGGGCTGATTAATCCAAGCATAGAGCCCCTCATAACCTTATGAAGAAGTCCATTAACTGCAGCAATGTTCCATTTCCCCATTATGTCTAACATAGATTGAGGATATCCAGGCACAACTCCCTTCCCTTCATTCATTAGCAGGTACCTATTCAGCTCTGGTTCCATGCACACCACTGTTGGGCATCCCAATATGTGTGATTTGAACACATTCCCATATCTATAAATAATAATTATAATGATAAGTCAGATATGATGGAAGGGTAAATATTAAGATGATTATATGATAAAACTTGAATATATATTAAGAAATGATTGTATTGGATTTATAATGAATGAGATTATAATAGCGAAAAACAGACTCATGTGGTTTTGACATGTAAAATTAATATTTGAATGATGTATAAAGCCAATTTCAAATAGCTAAATAAGGAAACAAGAAAATGGTCTAAAGTAGGTTTGAGAAGGAAAAGGCCAAAATGAGAGTGATGCATTGGCAGCAGAGAAATAACATGGAAGTTGCAGGTTCAGTAAGGCTACAAAATCATCATAATATCATTCTCAATTAATTGGATTGGCAATTGATTTTCTCCTCTCATCTCTAAGAACTTAACAGAGATTTTAAAAACCAAATCAAGAAGAAGAAGAAGAAGAAGAAGAAGAAAAAGAAGAAGAAGAAGAAGTAGAAGAAGAAGAAGCATTGATGAGTTTATAAGAAAATGAAGGAAGAAAAGGCCTGAAGGCAAACTCACCTTGCTCTCTGGTTCTTCATGAAGCTGGGACCTTGCCTCAGAAACTCTGTAGTCTCACCAAAGATTGGCCATCCCATTGCTCCTGGAGGAAGTCTCTTTTTCCTGTACCTCAGCTCATTCAATCTCAGTATTCCACAGCAAATTAAGAGGAACAGCAACACCAGACCAAGAAAAAGAATTCCCACCATCTTCCCCCCTCTCTCTCTCTCTCTCTCTCTCTCTCTCTCTCTCTCTCTCTATCGCTATCTTCCTCTCAAGCTTTAGGTCCCTTCTTTTTATGCATTGCATGCTTATTTATAGAAGAATAAACAAGTTACCATTCCAAGTCCTAAACAGCCTATTTTCCCGGTGAAAAGTCTAAGTTTCAATAGAAAGTAGCTCTGCATTGCTAAATTTGGATGAAGAAAAATATCAGCAACTTTGGATATACATAAATGGATGACAGTTAGTCATAAATATCGTACAACACAGTCTTCTGTAGATAAGAACACAATCGACTTTCAAGGAAAATGATGATCTTCAGTATTTTTTTGCATGTAGCGCAAGCAGAATTTCAGATTATTTACATAAATATAATAAAAAACATGTTTTCAATCTTTGTAGGATCGTCTTGTAGCATTTCTGGTCCATTCTTACGTCAGAAAGTTCTGTTTTTTTCACTAAACTTAGCATAAGAAAATATGTTCTATGTTTTTGAAAAGAATAAGAGTGATAACAGTTAGTTGTCATCATTATCACATAAAAATCATAAATTATTGACTTTTTTGGGATCAGTTTTATCTTTTATTTTTTATTTTTTCTACTGTTTGCAAACATATAGCTGTGTATTATAGAATGTTTGCATTGCATTTGGTTCTTCACATGGTAGTATTTTGATATATGATAGTATTAAGGAAAAAACAGAGCCAGTGACCAAATAGTGGTCACAACTCTATTTGGCTAAAGTAATGAAAGGTACTACTAACAAAAAAAGGTATGCAAGTGGGTACTTCACATGCCTGCCCGGTGCATTTGATCACAAAATCTGCAAATAGGATTTATACAATTTTGAGTCCTTTAAAAATAGCCATCCATTAGTAGATTGTTTGGGTAGAAGACATTGATGCTCAAAAAGTTGTTGTAGCTATTACAAATGTAGAAACACATCTTTTTGGCAGCCACCATACTTTAGCCAGGTCACGTTGCAAGACAGAACTTCCCATCGCTGCTTTTTGAATTGCGATAGCTACTCCAAAGACAACCTAAATTCATGAATATTTTATTAGGATAATGTTCTAAATTCATAAATATTTTATTAGGACTATGTTTTAATTATTAATCTCACTTGCACACACCTAAAATCAAAATTGCATAAATGGGCCTGGCTATTTTCTATCATATATAAGTTCTATTATGCCTACTTGTACATGATGGTGACATATGAGAGGAAGATGGTCCCAAAGAGATCCTTAGTTGGTGATTTGACAAGCAAAATTGACTACTTTCTTCTTCATGTTCTCTAAAATAGCTTCTCTTTTCTTCATATTAACTCTCTCAAAATTATTAGAATAAGGTCAATAAATTTTCTCAACCATGAATGCATAATAGAGTAAACGAGCACAATGCATTCCAAATCTAGATTTCGAATAATGTATTATTGCTCATGAGCATAAAAGAAAAGACAATTATTTAGGTTTATTATTTTTTATTGGGCCATTTACATACATACCATCGGATTGCTATACATTTACATATCTAACACCAAAATATTGTTATTTTACATTTAAACCATCCAAATCTTTCATATTATATAAAAAATACCACTATTTTAAGTTTTAATATTTGAAATTCAACTTTTCATGTGTAGGTAAGGTGACATATATGTAAAAATTAAAATTTAGGTGTTAGATTTGTAAATACATTAGAATTAAGCAGTATGTGTGTAATCTGTGGAGGGATTCGGACATTGCAATTGTAAAATGAGAAAAGTTTTGTAGCTAGTTCTTTTTGCAAGTGGCGGAGAATTGTTCCTCCGAGCAATCGAGAGGAAACCTACACTTCCTCATTAAAGTCGGTTGTGTCACGATATGTGTTTGTGTGAAGTATGTTGCGCTAGCACATTGCCTCGATCGATCGCCTCGGCTCGGTCGACACAACACATTGCCTCGATCGATCGTCGAGGCCCGGTTGGCATAGCACGTTGACTCAACCGACCGCCAAGACCTCGTTGACATAGCACATTGCTTCGAATGGCTGCCCCGGCTCGTTCAGCATATCACATATGCTCGACCGGCCACCCCGACACTGTTAGTCTTACACATTGGCTAGATTGACTGCTCTGGTCTGGTCCACGATCACTTTGGTTTGTATGGCAGTCCTGACCCGGTCGACTGATCACTTTGATCTGATTGCCCTCCCTCAGCCAAGTCGAACGATCACTTTGGTTCGACTGGCTGCCCTGGCTTAGTTGACCCATCACTTTGGTCCAGTCAGTAACCTTAGACCGGCTGAGCTCGTTGGCTACGTTGCCTCGAGCTGACCACCCTAATCAAGCAAACCGATTAAACGACCAATTTCACTTGCATAGGGTGTGCTTTGCATGTGTATTAGTATTGATTGCATGGCTTTTGCACTAGCACATTCATCACTTGCACTCTTATTGTGCATCTTTGATCATATACCCTCATATGCTCCCTCCCAATGACACATTACTCCACATTTGCTTCGGGGCATCCTCATGTCATAGGTGGTCCGCAATTACACTTCCCACCTTTTTGTGTTTGCTTGCATAACAACTTGCATACAACTTGCATGTTTCATGATGACTTGTACATTTGCATGTATTGCACTTGGATTTGTGTTTCTCACACAGTTATTCCTCGCAATCATATATCATGCGAATGGGTGACTCGTTACCGAGCCAATCCGTTGTGTAATTCTCTCAAATGGGATTTGCATCCCCACACTTCTAACGACACCACTCTGGACCGTTGTAGGCACCTTCTTGTCACTGCCTCAATGACATACCTATTTCTTCGGGCCGCTACTTTCACAACACGCCCACCCTTTCGGGACATTGCCTCATCGACACACCAATTTCTTCGAGACGTTCACCTACAGGACACCCACCTTTTTGGGTCACTGCCTCCACTATCCATTTCTTTGGGACGTTGCCTCCACGACATGCCCACACTTTTCGGGTCATTGCCTCCACGACATACCCATTTCTTTGGGCCGCCGCCTCTAGTGCATGCTCACTCTTTTGAGTCATTGCTTTCACGACACACCCATTTCTTTAGGCCGCAACCTTCACGGTGCGCTCACCTTTCCAAGTCAGTCTTCACGTCACGCCCACCTTCCGGGCCAGTCTTCACGACACCCATTCATTTAGGCCGCAACCTTCACGGTATGCCCACCTTTCCAGGCCAGTCTTCACGGCACACCCACCTTTCTGGGCCAGTCTTCACGACACACCCATTCCATTGGCCACTACCTCCATGACACGCCCACCCCTCTGAGTCGCTGTCTCCACGACTCACCCATTTTTTCGGGTCGCTGCCTCCACGATACACCCATTCTTCGGGTCGTTGCTTTCATGACACGCCCAACCTTTCAGGTTAGTGCCTCTACAACATACCTGTTTCTTTGGGTCGCTGTCTCCACGGTATGCTCCCCCTTCTGGGTCACTGCCTCCATGACACACACATTTCTTTTGGCTGTTGTCTCTATGACATGCCTTTTCCCGAGTCACTGTCTCCACGACACAGTCCTCCCTACTTTCATCATATGATTGTTTGCATTTGCATATGTATGCTTGCATGGATAACGAGCTAAACTCGATGGCGAGTGGCCCCGTGTTGGTGTGATGCTTTAACGAGCATTGCTTGCTGGGTCGATTTTGGCAAGCAATGCGAGTTAAAGCATTGAGACTGTCATAAGTATGACTACGTTAAGGATCTAAAGAATCTAATTTTTGTCACCTTGCATGTTACAGGTCCGTCTTTAATGACCATCATTTTATATTTATATATATATATATGAGTAGTATTTTTTTTTTTAAAATATTTGACTACAAGGCTACAAAGATATATATATGTATATATAATTTTTGTCATATAATTTTGGTCACATAAAATATATATAATTATTGTCATATTGCTTTTTATTATATCCGCTATAATTTTAAAAGTATGCATGTAGCAAACTAGACCATATGTTAGGCCAACTCTTTTCAAAATCAATCATGGGTGACACCTTTTAAATCTCTTGGATCTTTAAGACGGGGCCAGTGTGGCGACTCCGTCAAAGTTATACATACCAAGAGACCTTAACTTGAGCACTTAAATGCTGGTTTGGATAGATTCTCGTTAGATTGCGTGCTAGGTTAGGACTAAGGTAATATGTAGTATTTTTGGCGTCTCCGACTATTGTTCTACGTTGGATTTGTTGTTTTAGTTAAACATCATTTTTTTTGCTTTTTGGTGTGCTTGTGTGCATGCCTATTTCGATCTGCATGGTAGTTATTAGGGCGGTCTTCTGTAGAATTCATGTCATATATATGCACACATATGTACAATAAAAAGGGAGGCGACACAATGATTATTACCATTCTTTTCTGCAGGCGCTGCTTAGCTTCCTCACTAGGCATGACCCAGACTCGTTGCATGCTTATTTGGCTTTCCCACTGACATTATTTTCATAAATGTCGAGTCTTTTTTTCCATTTTTCCTGTGTACTTCTAGAGTCATAGGAGAGTCTTGTTTTAGAAATACAATACAAACATTCTGAGGCACCTGGAGGACGGAACCTCATGACTGGGGTCAGAAGCGACAACCTCGTGTCTCATACCTTAATTCTAAATCTTATTTATGTTTAAAATTATGACCAGGTGTGTACTTATGCTGTGATTGACCGTCTTTTTCTTTTCTATGATATGTTGTCGACCTAACGATATCGGCCTTTTATTGTTTTTGGCTTGTTTACTATTTTTCTTGCATGTTGAATTGTTCTCTTTTGTTTATCTATGGTTGATCTCGGATGTTATGAATATTTTAATTTAGGCTCATTAAGGACCTTAAAATTATAAATTTTGTACTCAAAATCCTATTAATAAAAAATTAAGAAAATTAAAATTTTAGGATTAAAATTGTCATGTCTTTCAAAAACGTACTTTTATTTTCCTTCATGGCATTTAGGATGGATTTTAAACTGGTTGCATAACATGGCTCTCACCCAAGTCATATTAATAGTGCCTCC